TTTCCTTCCATTTCTATTTTTTAAAACAGTCTCAGAAGAATAGGTATTAATTCTTCTTAAATGTCTGATAGATTTCCTCTGGGAAGCCATCTGGCCCTGGGTTTTTGTTTGTTGGGAGATTTTTGATGACTGCTTCAATTTCCTTGGAGGTTATAGGTCTGTTCAGGTTTTCTATTTCTTCCTGATTCTTTTGGTAGTTGATACAACTCTAGGAATGCATCCATTTCTTCCATGTTATCTAATTTGCTGGCATATAGTTGGTCATAATATGTTCCTATAATTGTTTGAATTTTTTAGTGTTGGTTGTGATCTCTCCTCTTTCATTCATGATTTTATTTATTTGGGTCATTTCTCTTTTCTTTTTGATAAGTCTGGCCAGGGTTTTATCAATCTTGTTAATTCTTTCAAAGAACCAGCTCCTAGTTTCGTTGATCTGTTCTACTGTTCTTTCGGTTTCTATTTCATTGATTTCTGCTCGATCTTTACTATTTCTCTTCTCCTGCTGGGTTTAGGCTTTATTTGCTGTTCTCTCTCCAGCTCCTTTAGGTGTAGGGTTAGACTGGGTATTTGAGACCTTTCTTGTTTCTTGAGAAAGGCTTGCATTGCATATACTTTCCTCTTAGGACTGCCTTTGCGTTATCCCAAAGTTTTTGAACAGTTGTATTTTCATTTTCATTTGTTTCCATGAATTTTTTAATTCTTCTTTAATTTCCTGGTTGACCCATTCATTCTTTAGTAGGATGCTCTTTAGCCTCCATGTATTTGAGTTCTTTCCAACTTCCCTCTTGTGATTGAGTTCTAGTTTCACAGCATTGTGGTCTGAAAATATGCATGGAATGATCCCAATCTTTTGGTACCGGTTGAGACCTGATTTGTGACCTAGGATGTGATCTATTCTGGAGAATGTTCCATGGGCACTAGAGAGGAATGTGTATTCTGTTGCTTTGGGATGGAATGTTATGAATATACCTGTGAAGTCTATTTGGTCCAGTGTGTCATTTAAAGTCTTTATTTCCTTGTTGATCTTTTGCTTAGATGATCTGTCCATTTCAGTGAGAGGGGTGTTAAACCCCTACTATTATTATTGTTGTCCATGTGTTTTTTTGCTTTTGTAATTAATTGGTTTATATAATGGGCTGCTCCCATGTTAAGGGCCTAGATATTTACGATTGTTAGATCTTCTTGTTGGATAGATCCTTTAGGTATGATATATTGTCCTTCCTCATCTCTTATTATAGGCTTTGGTTTAAAATCTAATTTGTCTGATACAAGGATGCCACCCCAGCTTTTTTGGTGTCCATTAGCATGGTAAATAGTTTTCCACCCCTTCACTTTCAATGTGGGGGTGTCTTTGGGTCTAAAATGAGTCTCTTGTAGACAGCATATCAATGGGTCTTGTTTTTTTACCCAATCTTATAGGCTATGTCTTTTGATTGGGGCATTTAGCCCATTTACATTCAGGGTAACTATTGAAAGATATTAATTTAGTGCCATTGTATTGCCTGTAAAGTGACTGTTACTGTATATTGTCTGTGTTCCTTTTGGTTCTATGTTACTTTTAGGCTCTCTCTTTGCTTAGAGGACCCCTTTCAATATTTCTTGTAGGGCTGGTTTCATGTTTGCAAATTCCTTTAGTTTTTGTTTGTCCTGGAAGCTTTTTATCGCTCTTATTTTCAATGACAGCCTTGCTTGTTATAGTTTCTTGACTGCATATTTTCTCATTTAGTGCTCTGAATATATCATGCTAGTCCTTTCTGGACTGCCAAGTCTCCGTGGATAGGTCTGTTGTCAATCTAATGTTTCTACCATTGTAGGTTACAGGTCTTGTCCCAAGCTGCTTTCAGGATTTCCTCTTTGTCTCTGAGACTCGTAAGTTTTACTCTTAGATGTCGGGGTGTTGACCTATTTTTATTGATTTTGAGGGGGGTTCTCTGTGCTTCCTGGATTTTGATGCCTGTTTCCTTCCCCAAATTAGGGAAGTTCTCTGCTATAATTGCTCCAGTGTACCTTCCGCCACCCTCTCTCTTTTCTTCTTCTGGGATCCCAATTATTCTAATATAGTTTCATCTTATGGTATCACTTATGTTTCAAATTCTGCCCTCGTGATCCAGTAGTTGTTTATCTCTCTTTTCTCAGCTTCTTTATTTTTCCATCATTTGGTCTTCTATATCCCTAATTCTCTCTTCTGCCTCATTTATCCTAGCAGTTAGAGCCTCCATTTTTGATTTTACCTCATCATTAATAGCCTTTTTGATTTCAACTTGTTTAGATTTTAGTTATTTAGTTCTCTAGAAAGCGTTTCTCTAATACCTTCCTTGCTTTTTTCAAGCCCAGCTAGTATCTTTAAAATCATCATTCTGAACTCTAGTTCTGACATCTTACTAATGTCTGTATTGATTAGGTCCCTCACAGTCGGTACTGCCTCTTCTTTTTTTTTTTTTTTGAGGTGATTTCCGTCTTGTCATTTTGTCCAGAGGAGAATAGATGAATGGGAGAACAAAATGCTAACAGGGTAACAATGTCCCCAGAAAATATACACTAAACAAATCAGAAGAGACCTCCCAGAAAGTAGTCGCTTTTCTGTTCAGAGAGTTGCTGCTATTCTTTTCTTCTATCTTCTGTTGATTTCATAGGTGTTCAGAATGGTTTGATCTCTATCTAGGTGAATTCCTGGGACCACACGAAATTTAGGTTTCATGCTCCTCCGCCACACCTGGGTTCTTCTTTGTATCTTTTATATCTCTGCTGAAACTTTTCCTGTTTTTTATTTGTTTCAAGCATGTTTATAATTATTTATTGAAGCATTGTAATGATGACTGCTTTAAAATCTTTGTAAGGTAATTTGAATATCTCTGTCATCTCAGTTTTGTTTCTATTGCTGTCTCTTTTCATTCAGGCTGACATTTTATTGGTTCTTGTTATGACAAGTGATTTCCAACTGAAACCTGGAAATTTTTGGTTTGGTAATTTGGCCCTTCACTAGATCTTTTTTGATACTACCATGGCTGGGAGTATAGGAATTAGTCATTACTATTCCTCATATGGCCTCCATTGAGGCCAAGGGTATTGGTCTCCTTACCATTGGGCAGTGGTAAACGTCATGACTCTCCACTAGTCTGCCTCTGATTCCACCCTTTGAGAGCTGCAAGGGCACCTCCTTTCTGTCAGTGGAGAGTGGAAATCCAGACTCCCACTTAGTGTTGTGTTACCTTATTGCTCAGGGCAATGAAAGTCAGACTCAGCCTTCTCTGACAGCTCTCTGATGGGAGTTAAGTTAAAGTCCAGCTCTCCCCTGGACCTTGCTAGTCTGAGTGCAGTAGAACCACTGTTTTTCTGTGGTGTTTGGCTAGGTTTGTGTAGTTTTTGTCTAAAAGTTCTCTGTCTTGCTGGACAGTCCCTTTGTTGGTCTTTAATTAATTTCAAACTCCCAATAAAATTAAGCTTTTATTGGGAGTTTGAAAAATCTGTTCTTGTTTCTGGTTTTGGTAGTTATCTTCTACCACAAGTCGGATATATGAGGCAAAAATAAAACCCAAGAGGTGTAGCATTGTTTTCCCATGGGTCTCTCAGTGAGTAGCTCATCTTGTGTTTTCTCCTCACTGTTCAGTCTTCTGATGTTTGTCTTATATGTAATGTCCAGAGCTTTAGTTATACTTAGCAGATAAACATCTGGAGAATAGAGAAACACTTATTTATTTCATTTTCCCAGAAGTGGAGCCCCTGAAGCCTGTGTGTGTATAGTCTTCAAGCTAATAATGGTTTTTACATTTTAAAAGGTTTTAAGAAATTCAGAACAAAACATAACAGATTAAAAAATAACAACATACAAATGGCTAACAGGCACATGAAAAAATGTTCATCATCATTAGCCATCAGGGAAATTCAAATCAAAACCATATTGAGATACCACCTTACACAAGTTAGAATGGCAAAAATGGACAGGGAAAGGAACAACAAATGTTGGAGAGGTTGTGGAGAAAGGGGAACCCTCTTACATTGTTGGTGGGAATGCAAGTTGGTACAGCCACTGTGGAAAAGTGTGGAGGTTCCTCAAAAAATTAAAAATAGAGCTACCTTTATGACCCAGCTATTGCACTCCTGGGTATTTACCCCAAAGACACAGATGTAGTGAAAAGAAGGGCCATATGCACCCCAATGTTCATAGCAGAAATGTCCGCAATAGCTAAACTGTGGAAAGAGATGAGATGGCCCTTCAACAGAGGAATGGATAAAGAAGATGTGGTCCATATATACAATGGAATATTACTCAGCTATCAGAAAGGATGAATACCCAACTTTTACATCAACATGGATGGGACTGGAAGAGATTATGCTAAGTGAAATAAGTCAAGCAGAGAAAGTCAATTATCATATGGTTTCACTTATTTGTGGAACATAAGGAATAGCATGGAGGACATTAGGAGAAGGAAGGGAAAAATGAAGGAGGGGGACATCGGAGGGAGAGATGAACCATGAGAGACTGGACTCTGAGAAACGCACTGAGGATTCTACAGGGGAGGAGAGTGGGGGATTGGTCAATTCTGTGATGGGTATTAAGGAGGGCACGTACTGCATGGAGCACTGGGTGTTATACAAAAAAAATGGATCGTGGTTCACCACATCAAAAACTAATGATGTATTGTATGGTGACTAACATAACATAATAAAATAAAAAAAATTAAAAAAAACGAAAAAAACAAAGAATATGTGAAAGAGACTATATGTGGTTCACAGAGCCTAAAATATTTACTATTTGATTCTTCACAGAAAGATTTTATTGACCCTTTTTAGACATAAGTTAACTTTTAGAGCGGAATTAGTATTATGACATTTCACTTATGTCATTGGCAGTCCTTCATTTCTTTATATAGATCCAGGCTTTTGTATCATATTTCTTCTATCTGAAGAACTTCCTTCTACATTTCTAGGTACACTAGAAATTGATTTTTTCACTTTGATGAATATATTTTTATTTCTCCTTAATTTTATGTATTTTTTAAAAAAATATGGAACACTTCACAAATTTGCTTGCCATCCTTGTGCAGGGGCCATGCTAACCTCTGTGTCATTCCAACTTTAGTGTATGTACTGCCAAAGCAAACAATCTTCGCAATTTTAAAAAGGTGTTTTATTGAATATGTAATTGATTTTTTGTTCCTTTTGGCTCTTTACATATGTCGTTGTTATTGTCTTCAGACTTGTCTAGTTTCTGATGAATGTCTTCTGTAATTCTTATATTTGTTTCTCTATATATAGTGTCTTCCCCTTCCTTGTCGCTGCCCTCAAGATTTTATCTTTATCTTTGGTTTTCAAGAGTTTGAATATAATATGTTTATCTATTTTTTAAGGCGTGGGTGTATTTATTCTGTTTGGTACTCTTTGAGGGTTTGGGTCTGTGGTTTGGTGTCTGTTATTAATTTTTGGCCATTATCTGTTCAAATATGTTTTTCTGCCCTGTTCCTCTTCTTTCCTTCTGGGAAGGATGTTAGACTGTTTTGTATTATCCAACATGCATGTATGTTAGACTGTTTTATATTATCCAACAGCTTTTGGGTATTCTGGTTTTTTTCTCTATTTTTTTCTTTTTGTGTTTTAGTTTACATAATTTATATTGGCCTATCTCTCAGCTTAGTGATTATTTCCTCAGCTGTATTGATTTTATTTTTGAGGCCATTAAAGCATTCTTTTAAAAAATTATTATTATTATTATTTTTAAAGGTTTTATTTATTTATTTGTCAGAGAGAGAGCACAAGCAGGGGGAGTGGCAGACAGAGGGAGAAGCAGGCTCCCCACTGAGCAAGGAGCCCCTTGTGGGGTTCTATCTCAGAACCTTGAGATCATGACCTGAGCTGAAAGCAGACACTTAACTGACTGAGGCACCTAGGCATCCTCCATTAAAACATTTTCAACTCTTTTGTCATACTTTTCACTTTTAGCATTCCCACTGACTTCTTCCTCATAATTTTTATATCTCTGTTGAAGTTCCCCATCTGATCATGCATGCCGAATACTTTTTCCACTTTTTTAACATGTTAATTATAGTTATTTTAAATTTCCTGATAGCTTCAACATTCATGTTATATTGAAATCTGTTCTTGTTGATCATATTTTTTTTCTTCCCACTTCTCTTACTTATATGTATATCTTATGCTTCTTATTTTTAATATGACATCTTTTGTAGGAGAGTGGAAACTAATGTAACTAGTATTATTGCCTGGAAACGGATATCTTTCCCCTCATTTTCCTGAGTCATTAGTGTGGAAATTTGGGTCAATTTAAGTTGAGCTGTGTTTGGGTTTTCTTGTTGCTGTGGTCACTCTCAGTGCAATAGGGGCTTTAAATTCTTGCAGTGTTATCTTGGTTTTAAAGTGAAGTTGTCACATTAGTCCATGCTCAACATTTAGCAATTAATTAAAAATTTTGAATAGTGTCCATTGTCTGCTGCAAATAAACAGGTGCTTGTGTCCTATCTCTCCTTAGGGGTATCTGCTATTATTTAGGTTTTGGGTTAGTTGTTTTGTTCTGCAACCTCAGATATCTTATTTACCCAAGAAAAATGGTGATTTCACAAGTTATTCAGAATTTTTTGTTGTAAGGTGTAAAAAACTTTCCAGTTTTTTACAAACCAGTCAGAAGCTTACAATCTCATGAAGGCCATTTTGAGTCTTTGATTTCTCATTTATGGCCTGCCCAATCTCAAATTATGTAACTTCTATGAGTCATAGTTTTCTGATCCATTAAAGACAAATAGTAATACTTACCTCATAGGTTGTTGTTTAGGATTAAGTTAAAGATAAAAAATATTTATGGCACAGTGCCTGTCATGAATCAGTACCTTTTAAATCTCCTCTGCTTTCTGTCACCTAATGAAATAGATTAAGGATGTTTTACAAATGGAAATGCTTTTAAATGACATTTGAGTCAACCCAAAGTACAAACAACAGAGCCTCATTTTCCTGTTTTAATCAAGGAATGAACATCATTCTTACAAATTTGGAGAGAATTTTTCAGAAGACTGAAATCTGCAGTTGGAGTTGGAAGTAAATGGTTGCTTTCCTGCCCATCCCCTTTTGATTCTCTCTGTGGAATCTCCTGAAAGATTATCTTTGCTGGTGAACATGCTGTCTACTGAGATAGCTCTTCTCTTTCAAGCAGCTCTAAGGGTCCTAGGATTTCTTTCTTTGAGCTGAAGTTCTGTCTTTTCTGGCTTCCACTCTTGGTCCTGATGCTAGTTCTAAATCCTTATTGCCATTGTACCTTCATTTATGTGAAAATAGCTCTTACATCCTCTCTGAGTCTTTTTGCCTTCAGAAGAAACCTCCCAGTTTTTAACTTTTATTCATGTGACAACATGTCCTGACTCACAGTCACATGCCACCAAGTTTCTTCTGCTCAGGTCCCTCTACAGGTGGACTCTATGAACTCAGCCTCATACTCCAGGGGAGGGCTAACCCAAGCTGAGTTGACCAAGATTGTACCTCTATTGTTCTAGGCACTAACTGCTGTGCAACCAAAGTTTGTGCTAACCTTTGCAGAGTCAATATTTCTTCTGACTCCTTGAGTAAAGACCCAAAGTGTCAAACATGCTGCTATATACTGTATCTTATCCATCTTTTACTCAAGCAGTTGGATTTTAGCCCAAGGACATCTCATATTTATCTTTGTTGACTGCTATCCTAATTGGATTTAGCCTATTTCTCCAGCATATCACAGTCATTTTGGGTATTCATCTTGTCCATCACATGCTTTCCTCCCTATGGCTTCTTTACATCTGTGAACCTGATGAGATTAACTGACCCATCCATCCTCTGGTATAGGCCAGATTCAGAGGACTTGGACAGGCAGCTTGGGTTCCTTCAACCACTCACTGTACTTGCCACTTCAAGGCTTCAGGGAAGCCTGCCCCACCCCCACTCTTTGCTAGCCTGCCAGGCTCATGGACATAACCAGAACTTTTGGTTCATGCTCTTGACAGTTACTTGCCTTGTGCTCCTTGTTAATGCTCCTTGGGTTTTTCTATCAGTGTCTGCTTCTCCCCAGCAACTCCTAGCATAACTTTTCTTGTTGTCTTCCTGTAGCTGTCCACTCCCACAGTGGTGGTAGAGAGACTTGGTTAAAGGGGGTCTGCCACTGGGACTGTTCCTGAGTTGTCTCATGACTCCCTGCACCAGTCCAGCTGACTTTGAGTTCATCTGTCCTTCAGAGTTCCAAGTTCTAGTCTAGTAGTTCCTCTTTTTAAGGTATGTCTACTACCCACCCCCTCAGTCCTTGCATACCCTAAACTCCAGCCTTGGTTCATGTGTCACTTCATCCCTCACATATTTCTTGAAAGCAGGTTTCACATGACTTTATACAAGCCAGTAATGATTCATTGCTTGAGAGGACAACATAAAGAATGGGTTCTGAAGACATTTGTCAGAAACCTCCCCCAGGCATTCTGTGTGGGTTATCTATTATAAAAGGTGACTGGGGCAGGTCACAACTGTCCTAGGTCTCCTGACTCATTGTAGGCTTTCCTTCTACCCCTTTGCTTCTGAGATCATTTTCCAGGAATGACAAGACAGAAGTATAATAGGAACTAGGGAATCTTACTTTCTTCATTTCATCCATCAATTTTATGTCATCAGCCTGACTTTAGTTCTGGCTTTCCTGAACTTCTTGCTGTGAAAAATACTACTTCCCCGGTGCACCTACCCTTATAGTTTAGACATTTGAGCTTGTTTCATACTTGCCTGGCTTGAAGTTCTTTTTTTCCCTTTTCTGGTGTGAGGACCATTCCTTGTATCTGAGCAAGATAGAACAAAATTGGAAGTAGTAAATTAGTATAAGAATTTTCTAACAAGGGAAAGAGAACTGAGATCAGTTTCTTATAGAAAAAGCTAAAGCATATTAATTTATTTTACAACTAAGAGGGAGAGAGGGGGAAGAAGTGTCTCTGAAGTAGCTGGGGGGGGATGGTCAGAGAACATAGGGCAGAGGAGGGGTAGGAGATTGTCAAGGCGAAACTTCTTTCTCTAACATTCAGTGCTCTGCTGGGGTCCTTTATTCCTGGCTCCATTTGGCTCCTTCTCCTTAAACTGTGTGTGTCTGAAACCAGAGCACCCTTCTTTCAGTTCATTTAGGAGAAATGCGCAGGTGGAAGCTATAATAGTGCACTTTAAAGCTATTCAAAATTATTTATAGAACACCAACTATCTGCCAGGCCCTTGTAAAGTTCTGGGGGTTGTGGAGATGAGTAACATAGTCCCTTCTTCAAGACGGTTGGGGTCCTGTGGGGACAGTGAGCCAACAGACACAACCTAGCAATTGTGTGATGTGGCAATGGGTATGGGCACAGTGTAGTGGGAGCAGGAGAGGGTCAGCTGGGACGGGTCAGGGAGGTTTCCATGCACAGTGAGCAAATCTGAGATAAGATCATCATGCCAAGTGGCAAGAGAAACTGGATCCTTGCATTGACCTACAGACCATTCTTCAGGGACACATGTCTTCCCTGAAGCCCCTTCCCTGGCTTCTGTCTTCTCATCTCCACCCAACATACACTTCCTCTCTCTCCATATTTAATTTCTCAACAGAAGCCCTTTATCTGGTGATCCAACAATCTCAGATCTCGCCACTGGCAAGTGTGGAAGGGGATGCGGGCAGAGGGGCTTCACACTGCTGGCAGAGTTTAAGTTCGCATACTATCTGGTGAAGCCTGCATCCCACCCATAGATCTCTGCCCTGGAGAAGAACCAGTGAGGACCCCAGGTGGCATAGGACTGTTTTTTGCAGCATTACTGCATGGCTCTGCACACCAGCAATAAAGAGATGGATAAATGGGGGCAAGCGCATACAGTAGGATCTTGCAGAGAAGTCAAAATAGATGTGCACTTACCCACCTCAGCAAGTCTTAATAATCATCCTGTGGAGAAAAGGAGCATGTTCCAGAGAGATTTAGACAGTATGATACCAGTTATATACAGATGAAAACCCAACAAAATGATACTTTAACATGTTTCTGGATGAATAAATATGTAGTAAAAACATCAAAACATGCACGACAATAACAAATAGTAAGTTCCTGATAAACTTTGGGAAGGGAGGAAGAAGTGGGAGATTGAG